TTATATTGGCATTAATTAATAATTAATCAATATATTGATTATACATTAGTTAATATAGTATGTATTAACTGATACATCATTATCTATGAGGTAGGTAATATTATTGTTTCAGGTAACTGAGATTCAAAGACATTAAACAACTTGGGCAGAATAACATAGCTTAGTACAAGGTGAAATTTAGACATATTTCCTTAACAACAGATAGAGTTTTACTTCATTCCTTATAATATCCACATAGTATTCCTTGGTATGAACATAACATAATTTATTTACTTATCTTTCTAATAATGGATAGCAAGAGAGTTGGTTTTTGCAAATTGTGATAAACATGGCTTACTTTTCCTTACCTTAAAATCTTTGGAGACAACATATTACTAGCATGGAATATTTTCACATGACATTTACTAACATCTCTTAAGACATTAATGTTTCATGAAGCATTGAGCAGCGAACCTAAATACTTTAATAGCTACAGTAAGCGTACTCATCTTTACTTGTGAGGCACAGGTTTTGTTTTCTAAGGTTACTGACATACAGCAGACCCCGCTATGGTCAGTCTCCTGCCTCGCATTTCCAAACTATTATCACAACCTCAACTATCGCAACTCCTAAAACACAGACCTAAAATATCAGGGACCAGAGAGATATGAAGGATCTGAACTTTCACCTACCTCAGGCCACCTTGTTGATTTCTAAGTGTTTGGCTAAGGAGACATGTCTTCTTCAGTGAAGACACTGATGGCCAACCAGTGGGTGAGCAAAACATTAAAGAGCCAGGAAAAAACTGGCTTGGGGAGAGATTTGATTGGGAGTGAGTGAGAAGGCAACTGCCAGATATTGCCAGCAAGATAACGTGGACTTTGAAAATGTACACGTCTGTATTTCTCTAAAGAACAGAAAAGAGTTCTAGATTATTCTGATGACTTGCTTTTGGTGTCAGCCTGGGTTTCCTAGAGTGAAACTCTGAAAGACAGGACCCTCACAAAATCGTTTGTAAATGGGTTACACAAATGATAGTTGCAGGTGGAGAAAGGGGCTTGTTTTGAGAATTTCAGTTGGAATTCCTGGGAGATGGAAACAGGCAGGTGAAGAGGAAGTAGCAGGAAGAGAAGATAGGTCACATCTCTGAACCCTGAGGAAGCTTCCCTAAGGACTTTGAACTTACATCAACAACTTATATATCAGAATATCTTTATCTTGGAAGAGACTAAGTAGTTGTTCACCAAATTATTTTCTTCTGAGAACACAGCTAGACTGTATCTTCCAGTCTCTCTTATGGTTTGAGGTGGCCATGTGACTGGGTTCTGAAGAACTTAAGTTTGCCAGTCCAGGCCCCTCTCCCATAAAACTGCCTGTTCTTTCTCTCCTCTCATTTACTGATATAGAGGATTCACTGGAGGGCCCTGAGGCTCTACAGGATAACAGAGCCATTAGTAGGAAGAAACTCGGGCTCCTGAATGACTATGTGGAGCTTAGATTCCTCATTAATCTCCATCCATTGCACTGTGACAGGAGTGAGAAATTAACTTTTATTATTTTTTTTTGTTGTTACAGCAGCTAACATACCCTGACTGATACATAGTGGTGCACTGGCATTTCCCCTACCAATCCGGTAGCTTCTTTTCTGCCTCCTTCCTTGAATCCTCCTCTTTCTTTTTGCATCTAAACAAAAGTAGCCCTCAAGGGTTACAGGTCTTCCGGCCACTTTCCTCTGGATCAGCAAGTGATAGTAGTCCTGACCTCTCTTATGTTCTGTGTGCATCGTTTCACTTTACTTCTAGTGTCTTCTGCATATCAAAGTTTTCAATTTCAACATGATGAACTATGTCACACTTTTCACCCTTTATAGTTTGTGCTTTTGCTGTCTTCCTTAAATAATCTTTCTGAATCCTAAAATCATAATAGCTAAGATTTTTGTCTAAACATTTTCTTATTTGGCTATTTGTGTTTAGACTTATGAATATAACCCACTTGGAATTTATTTTTGTGTAAGACATAAGGTAGAAATATAATTTTATTTTGTTGCATATATGGATAGATAGTTGTGTCAGCCCTATTATATATTCTATCCTTTCTGCCTGGTACATAATGTGGCTCTGTCAAATACCAGCTTTTCATATTTACATGGGCCCATTTCTTGCCTTTTAATTTTGTTGCCTTGGGCAACTTTCCATTCCAGGATTGTGTAGCAATTACTAAGACTTCATAGTAAGTTGTGGTTTCTGGTAGGGTAAGGCTTATTTTCCCCATGGCCTTGTTCTTCAGATTTGTCCTGGCTATTTGTGTCAATTGTTTGTTGCTATATCCTAAAGCTATCCCAAAATTTAGTGGCTTGAAACAACCACCAAAATATCAAATAGGTTGATGAAGAAGATCTTTACCTATTGTTTCATGTGTCTAAAGAACAGAGGGAAGTGAAGTGAAGAGAGGACCCGCTGTGCAGCTGGGCGGGCAGACCCTTAGTGAGAAGGGTGCTGCTCACATGCCACGCAGCGCAGATGCAGAGGTATGCAATGAGCCTAAAGCCTCCTGGGGTTCCAAAGGTCAAGGAGCAGCTCTCACTCTCCATCCTATCTGTCTCCTCCTCCTGCTCCTCACCCCCCCCCCCATGTACTCTTCCTGTGGGTCCTGCCTGCTACCGGGATGAGGAAAAGGCATACATCTCTGACATCATTTCTCTGGAAAGGTGCCTCCAGGCCTATGGTGGTAGCAGCAACAGCCCTCTCCCTCCTATCAGGGGCCACTGGTTAATTTGATATTGAACCCTTAAACTCCAGCTGCGAGGTCACCACTTCTATCCCCTCTTGCCTCCTTGAGGAGTGTATCAAAAAGTCATGCTCCCCCATCCTCCCTAGCTCCTTTAGAATTTCTCTAGCTGCAGATAAGACTGCTTTGTATTGCCATTATTTTTTTCATACATCTACCCAACACCCACACACATATACACACACACACCCCCTTAGGGAAAGGCACAATAGCATAGTGGTTAAAACTTCAAAGTTCAGGATCTACCATTTACTGGCTGGGCGACTTAGGCAACTTACTTAACCTCTTTGTGCCTCAATTTCTCCATCTGTAAGATGAGGGAAAGTACTGACCTTAAAGGGATGTTTGAGCCATTAATCCATGAAGAGGAATCTGGCACATTTTAAGCACTCCATAATGTTGGCTTACTAGACTCAATCTCTGTAGCCCCAACTCTCAGCACAGTGACTGGCAGTCAGCAGGCTCGCATAAATGCTTGTTTAATGGATATAGATCAGTCATAACTCTAAGAGTTCTAGTGGGTGAATCCTTGCAGTTTTGACAATTTATGAGGAACCTGACCCCCTATATGGCTGCTGGTGCTATAGCTGGACCAGGAGGCAGAAAAGCTGAGTTAAGGAGCACATGGTGAAGATGGGCTCTCTCAGTGGCTACCTAGCCTAAAATACAACAGCAGAGGCACTATTGAGAGCCTGGAAGTATAAAAGACCAGAGGTCAAATGAGTGACCTTCTCAAAACAAAGCCAGGTTGATTAGGAGGTCAGGGTAGAGCAATTATTCAGGCCCTAGGAGTCAGCTCTGGATTGCTGAGGCAGAGACCTCAGGAGTCAGGGTGACACTCTGAACATGCCACTCCCTTCTGACTCCCAGGCTTTCTCAACTTCAGTGTCTGGCCCTACAGGTCTGCACAGTTTGCATCCCCATGGAACCACAGTTTGGGGACAGAACCATTCTTTGATGCTGGGACCCTGGGCTACAGATGAGGGCAGCAGAGATGTTACAGTCAGAAGTGACAGGAACTTACCCACCTTCCTCTCACAGGAAGAACTCATATTCTCAAAGACTGGCCCACTAGACCCAAAACTGCCCACCCATTCGTCTTCAACCCCTCACTCTCTAGCCTTGATGCAGCCTGACCTTGGTCCCATTGTGACCATCGAGAAGTCAGGTCCTATTTGGCAATATCATTCACAAGCCAGCTGCTAAGCAGTAGTGGTGAATTCCTTGTCCTCTGTGTAACTTCTTATTGAGTTTTATAGACTGGGCTTGGCCATCCCATAAGCAGCTGGATTCAGTGATCTTTAAAGCCACTGTTGAGAAATGATGAACCTTCAACTGCAAGCAATCTTCCTTCCCCATGACATAGTTAGGACATCACCCTTCCACCCACCCATCCTGGAGTTTCCAGAGTTCCAAGTCACTTCTTGAAGGCGCATTATCAAAAAAGGAGCCCTATTTCTCAAACGGCCCTTTGGAATGTACTTAGACTAAGTAGGAGGCATCCTCCCCACCTACTCTTTTTGCCTAAGATGCAGTTAGCAGAGTGCATAATGGACTCTATGGGAGGCAGAGGAGCTTATATTAGTTCTTATGGAGCTATGTGGGTGGCCACAGGGAAGGAAGGTACCCTGCCATATTCTGCATGGCAAGGACCAGGGCCAGGGCCAGAGCCAGGGAGTAGACACTGTCCACAAGCCAGAGTTCTTCCTGGCAAGGTCCTAAGCATTTCATGAGTGGGAGGGATGTTGGAATCAGGAGTCTAGAAAGGAGAGGAGAGAGCTGATCTGGGGGATGGAGAGTTCTCAGAACTTCCTAGAACCGCTCAGAACTTAGAGGGCCAGAGAGGACAGTTAGGGAGGGGCATTCAGGGAGAGAGGTGCCAATAGGGGAACTTGCACAATCAATTTGGACTTCATAGCCACTGGTCAGGAAGGAAGTGATGGTCACAGAGGGAGATAAGTTGAATTGCTCAGAGGCACAAGGTCTGAGTCATCTCTCTAGTTGGACTCTGTCTTTGTGGATCTTGGGAACAAGAGAGAGCAGCTGTCCAGAAATTGCCCATTGTGGCATCTCAGCTCTCAGACTCAAAGCTTCTGCCTTCTGAGTTCATAAGGACTTTTCCTTCCTTTGTTCTCTTTTCCTCACCTCCCTTGCAGGAGGGGGTAGCCCTGGGAATTGGTAGCTATCTTTGGAAGTCACCCATTGCTGGTAGAGCATTAGATAAATTCTCATTGCCTGGTGAATTCTGCCTTTAGTTTCTAGACTCCACTTCTAGGGTGGCTGACTTAGAGGGCTCGGATCCCTTTCCCGTGATGCTGGCATATTCCACAGACAGAATGGGGTCAGGCATGAGTTTCAGGTTGGGGAGGGTCTTGGCAAAGATGGAGTCTTCAGGGCTGGAGTGGTTTAGGTGGATGAGTGAGGCATAGCAGATATCCCCGGAGTCCTTATCAGCCATCTGCTGAGCATACCCCTGAGAATCAAAGAAGATAGACATCCATTGCATGGATCATAGCTAGCATGATCAGTGGGCCTCTATATGCCCAGAGCTGGGTGGAGGGCAGGGACAGGGATAAAATATGGGACAAGGTAATCTGACAGAGCCTCTGGAATAAAGGACTGGGAAAGTGGCTTCAGAAAGCAGTGAGGTCACCATCACTGAACATGTTTATGAATAGGCTCAGGGCCAAGCATGGTGGCTCACACCTGTAGTCCTAGCACTCTGGGAGGCTGAGGCAGGAGGATCCCTTGAGCTTAGGAGTTTAAGACAAATCTGAGCACGAGTGCGACCCTGTCTCTTACTAAAAATATAAAAATTATCCAGGTTTTAGGGCAGCCTGTGGTCTCAGCTACTCAGAAGGTTGAGATAGGGGGATTACTTGAACTTAAGAGTTTGAGGTTGCTGTGACTTACGCTGAGGTCACAGCATTCTAACCTTTAAAAAAAAAAAAGAAAGAAAGAAAAGAAAAGAAGGGAGGGAGGGTAAGGAAGGAAAGAAGGAAGGAAGGAAGGAAGGAAAGAAGGAAGGAAGGAAGGCAGGCAGGCAGGCAGGCAGGCTAGGGAAGGCTACATAGCACCAACATTTCATGATAGCTTATTAAAAATGAAGAATAAGGCTCTATCCCAGATGTATTAGGATTAAAATAAACTGGGGTAAGGCCCAGCAATTCTGTTTTAACACTCTTTCCAAGTGACTTTTTTTTTTTTTGAGACAGAGTCTCACTATGTCACCCTCAGTAGAGCACCATAGAATCACAGCTCACAGCAACCTCAAACTCTTTGGGCTTAAGCGATTCTCTTGCCTTAGCCTCCCAAGTAGCTGGGACTACAGGTGTCCACCACAACACCTGGCTATGTTTTTGTTACAGCTGTCATTGATGTTTAGCTGGCTGGCCCGGCTCGAAGCCGCCACCCTCAATACATGTGGTCTGTGCCATAAACACTGTGCTATGGGCCTGTCCTCCAAGTGATTTTAATGCACACTCAAGTTTGAGTAGCATTGAGCTGGAAGGGCACTTGGTAGGGATGTTGTTTTTAGAGTTGATTCCAGCATTACACAGAGGATTGGCCAAGATGACTTTAGATTCTCCCAATTTTGTGATTCGGTGATGCTAAGAGCCTTAAATCTTTAGACAGGACAGACTTATGTGGGGGGAAAGACATTGTCCTAGGGAACCAGGCTGTTTGTCACATGACACCCTTCCCCATAGCTGATTGGATCAATGGCAGCTAATCCATAGGCTGGATCATTGCCTATGAGATATAAAAGCTGTCTCTCATGGAGGTGAAGGTCAATAGCTGAGTCTGCCAAATTCCTTCTTTCTCTAAGGGATTCAAATTGGGAAATATGGAGAAAGGAAGCACGTAGACAAAACACGAGGCAGCGGAGCATGTGTGAGCCAAGATTCAGAATAAATAGAAACTAGGAGTAAGTGCAGATCAGGTAGTTAAAGAAGAGCAACAAGCTGTGGTCCTCTGTGTGCCAGGGAAGGGTCATTCCTACTCACAATGGTCTCCTCTTTCTGGACAGAAAGTTCATTGTAGACATGGTGTGAGTCATCCTCACCTGTGAAGAAAATAGGCAAGCTTAGGGGAGAGACTTCTCCCTACTCACCTTCCATGGAATTAAGGAAGAGGAGATTGGAGTCCTGGCTGGGCAGAAGGGATCCTGATTGGAAAAAAGGCCAGGGCTTAATGAGGGGACACGTGTCTGCCTGGGGAAGTCCCAAGTGCCCAGCAATGGTAGTATACAGGGATGCTAAGAGCAAAACAAACTGTGGGACCAGTAAACTTAATTTTCTATTCCAGGTCACCGAAAATTCCAAATTTAAGCATCAAACTTAAGTATAATCTATTTGCTGATGAAGTTGTACATAGTAATATCTTTCAAATTTTTATAATTGGGAACCCAATGCAATATATGATTTACCTACTACCACATTAAAAAAACACACATACACATCCATGTACCTATACACACACATACACACTCCTGAAAGAAAAGTTTAATGAAAAACTGTATGAAGAATTTTAACATTTTACTTTTCTATTTTGTTTTATAAAAATGCCATTGTGATCTACTAAACTGATTTTACACAGTTTGAAAAAATACGTATATAAAATTTTACAATCCACTCCTCCCTTAGGATTTTTATAGTATTGAAAATTAAAACCAATGAAATCTAATATAACTCTGCTCTGCTCACCCATTTCAATCTTGTCAACAGAAACATCTTTTGGGTATATGGTTAAAAACCACACAATACTTAAGTGCTGAACCAACCAACCAAAGAAACAAACAAAAACAGCAAGAAAGGAGGTAGAATTTATCAAAGGGTACTAATCTAATAAATTTTGTACAAGATGCTGCAGATTTCACATGTAATTAATGCTAAAAACTTAAACTTTTAAAATTAAAAAGTCTTTGATATGCTTTTAGGAAGACAAAATTTATTTGTTTGTTTTTCAATGGTAAGATAGGATTTATTAGGTAGAAAGTAATGGAAGAAGGGAAAGGCACCAGAGCCTCTGGCGGCAGTGGGGGGAAGACCCAAGTGAGATAGCCTCCAGGAAAACACAATTTAGAAATAATAGCAATAGTTGAAAACAATACCATTAAAGTTACCTTAATTTTTAAAAAAGCCTTAACTCAAAAGATGGCAAAATTATATGGTCCAAAATGGGCACTAGCACACCTAGTCTTAGGCCAACAAGTGCTGAGTTGTGTTGGCTTTGAGTGAACTGACCTTGGTTCCCTCAAGAGAACTGGTCCTTGCTCAGGACGGCCCAGACTGGCTCTCCAGCAAAGGGAGAGAGACTCATAGGGGGCTCCCAAGTGATCTTGGCCATTTTATCTCTGGGGCCTCAGTTTCCTCGTCGGCAAGATGAGCACAACAAGCTTTGTCTCCAGGGCTGTCAGACTGCTGAATAAATGGCTAAACACTCCGTGGTCTGCTCAGAGCCAGTGACAGGGACTCACCTTTCCCGGCTTTTCCTCGGGCTTTCTGGAGGTACAGGGCCATGGTGAGGATCAGCATCAGTACGAGCAGGACCACCACCACCACCACACTCAGGGTGATAAACTTCCACTTGTCTAGAGGGCTTTGGAATAAGACCCAGCCAGGTGAGAAAGGAGAGAGCCCAGCCCAACCTTCTGCCCTATTGTTACAACTGGCCCTCCCGTCTTTCAGCCTCCACCAAAGTCCCCTCCTGCTCAGTTGACCAGGGGCCAGCCATATATGCAAATATGTTCCAGGGCTCTGGCTCTGCAGGCCATGCAGTCTCTGGCAAGCCATTCCATCTTGGGCTGGTTTCCTCTGTAAGATGGGAATGTTGATGCTATCTCTGTACCTTTCCTTACTGTCCCTTAACTTTCCTTCTGGGCCCTGTTGCAGGATCTGCACTCACCTCTCCCAGCATCTTTCCCTCCACCATTCTTGCTCCAGCTCCTTAACCTCAACCCTTCCCTATAAGGTGCGTGGAGCTCAGGGCATACTGCTATCACTGGCCAACAGCTCTGCCAGATGATAAATCCATCTTAATAGGGCCTGTCTCAAGTCAAAGGAAGAACACAAAGGCAGACTCTCTTACACCACAACAGGCTCTTAGGTCAGGGGCCTGGGGGGTGACAAGGGTGAAAGGGGAGAGCTGTGGTTTATAAGAGACCAGGGTTCATGGTCTGCAGCAATGGTAGGGAGGGAGGAGAGGAGGGGGGACAGAGGTCGGAAGACACTGCAGGACCTAGTGCTGAGGCTGGAATCCATCAGGCAAGAGTAGAAAAGAAAGCAGGCCACAGGTTGTTGTAATTGCACTGTGCCCTTTCTCTAGACCTGCTGTGGCTCTGGATTATCACCCCTACTCTCATGGAAAGATGGAGAAGGGCTGGAAGGGGGAAGAAATAAAAAAAGCAGTCCTTGCACTGGGCTGACCCTTCAAATCCACACTCATTTAATCTATCCTACAACCCTGTAAGACAGTGGTTCCAAACTGGGAGTGACTGTGGCACACCTAAAAGAGTCTGGAGACAATTCTGGTTGTTGCATTTGGGTGGTCAGGGGGAGATATATGCCACGGGCATCTAATGAGTAAAGGCCAGAGATGCTGCTAAACGTACAGTGCACAGGACGGCCTCCTATGACAAAGAATCATGTGGCTGCAAATGCCAACAGTGCCAAGGATTAGAAACCCTGACGTAAGGTGGGAATATTACTGGCCACATTTTGAAGATGAGAAAACTGAGGCTCAGACCAAGTGACTTGAGGTAACCTGTCTGACCACACTCCTTCCCACTGAGAGCTGGGTATCTGTGGCAGAATGTTAGTTGGGGGGCATTTGGCAGAGGGTGGGAGGAAAAGAGGGCTGAGAGGACACGGAGGTGTGGTAGTACCTGTCAATGACACGGCTGGTCACAGAGGTCAGGATTGTCGTCGTCCTGGTGCTCCTGGTGGGGGGTAGTGTTGAAGCTGTAAGAAATGACAGTGAGGGGAGCACCCTTTTCTAACCCCCTGTCCTAGGTAGGAGGCGCCCACACGTGGCCCCGACCAAGTGAGGACGCTGAGAAGCCCCAGACGCACTGCAAAGGCGTGGAGGCATCAGCTGAGTTCTGTTAGAGCTCCCGCAGTGCGAGTGGCTTTAGTGAGGTATCACACAGGTGTGTGTGGAGTGGATATAGCACTGTCAACCTCTAACGCCTCTGGATAAATCCCTGCTCACCCAACAAGACCCAGCTGCTGTCACCTCCTCTGTGGAATCCTCCATGGGTGGGAGGGGACATACCCCTGGCCTTGATGGTGACCGGACCCCCTCCCTTCAGTGGGTCTCCACCTGGCATGCTTCTCTTAGGCCACCTACCACACTGCATCATGACTCTTTGTCCATTGTCTTTCTGACTGGGCTGTGGGCTTGTCCAGCCCAGAATGGGCTCTCAAGATTTTCAGGTCCCTTTCTGGAGCCTGGCCTGGCCCCATGCCCTGCATGGAATGGGCAGTGAAGCCCCAGTGGCTGACCTAGGTCCTGCAGGCACCCATGAGGCCACCTGATGGGCTCAGCAGCAAGAGGGCCTGAGAGGTAGAGACCCAGGCCACTCTGCAGTTTTCAGGAGGGATACCCAAGGTCCTGAGATTAGAGGTACCCCATACCTGCCATGTTGTGGCTTAGGGACTCTTACTTGTTTGCAGTAGGTCCCAGGAGAGGATCCAGGGCCCCTGAACCCCAGGCAGTCCCATGGCCCACCCTCACCTCTAAGTCTCATATGTGCCTCCACATCCAGCCACCTCCTATCTGTGCACAGTTCTTGACACCACCCTGTTGCTCTGCGGCCCAGCTATATGAGGGACCCACGGCCTGTGAGAGGAGGCTCAGGGGCAGGGGTAGGAATGTCCAGGAATGGACCATTAGGCCTGTGTGCTCAAGCATGAGAAGCTTTAAAGTCATTCCAGATCCATGGAGGAGTCCTGTTAGTAGGAACAAAATTCCTAAGAGAATTCATGTGTTGTGGGATGAAAACCAACCAGCAGCCAGCAGGCCTGGGTTCTGGGCTTGTTCTGCCCTTTAGTTTGGTGAAGAGAGGGTTGAAGAAAAGGAGTGCTAGGGTCCTCTCCAGTTCCAACACTTGTGATTCTACAAGTCTGAGACTCACACCTGAGAAGGGAAATAACTTACCCTGAGATACCACCAGATGGAAGATTGTGAGAATAGAGATCTCAGAAGACTGAATTTTAGACATTCCACACCAGTAGACTCCCGAGTCGTTTACCCTGAGCTTTGTCATGGTGACGGTGAAGACACCAGAGGGATCATCCTGGATGGAATATCGACGGTCCCGAGGCACTGTACTGGGACTTTCCACTAATATCATACATGTCCTGGGTCTTATTTGCCTGCACCAACGTTTCACGTGCAAAAGCAGGGAAGACCGGTACTGGCATTTCACAGAGATGGTGTCACCCTCCAGGGCAGGCAGCAGCTCTGTCTTCTGTGCCCAGGAACCTGAAGTTAAACCCTCAGGTCAGGAGGGCTGGGAGATGGGGCCTCCCTCTTCAGGGAGCAACCCTCTGTGCCCACACTCAGGTTGTGCTCCAGAGCTGGCCCCTGGCCATGGCACCACCCTGTCCCCTGCCCGTCCCTCCACACAGCCCCCATCACAGCTACCTTGTCTTTCCATTTTCCCCTCACCTGAGGCCAGGAGCACCAGCAGCACAGGCCCTAGCAGGCATGTGGCCTCCCAGGTCATGAGTCCTCTTCTTGAGCTGGAGTGGGTGTAGGGATGTGAGGGAGCAGGAAAGCCCTGGGGAGGAGAAATCAAAGCACAGGCCTCCCTCCAGGAAGCAAGAGACCTGGGCAGGAGCGGGGGAGGCCTTCACTTATTGGGGACCTTCCAGCTGCAGGCTCTACGTCTGGACCTGGAAAGGCCTTAGCCCTGGGACTGGACCAAGGATGCAGGGGACTCTGTCACTCTTGCTGTGCTTCCCTAGGCCCAACCTTTTCCTGTAAGGCCACCTCCTATCACTGGGGTCAAGAATGGGGAAATCTGAGAAAGACCAGCAGGAAACTGTGGTGAAATATTTCTCCTCTCTCTCTCTCCAGCCTGAAGTTTCCCTTCCCGAACCAAGTCAAGCACAGACTGGAAAGTGAGTAGCAGAGTTAGGGGTCCTTTGGATTTCTGACCAAAACCCTAAGTCCCGCTGGTCCTTAATGATCAGAAGACTCGTGTCCAGGCCTGCCTGTGAACTGGGAGGTCCCATGGAGACAGGAGGGAAGAGGAGATGGAAACCCAATTTCCAAGAATGGAGATGCAGGGGATAGACCCTAGCAGAGGCAGGAAAGAGTAAAGCTGGGGGAGGGGGAGGGGAAGGAAGGCATAGGAAGAGAGAAGAAGAGGGGGGAAAGGAAAGAGGAGTCTCAGCCCCTAGGTTATCCCCTCCCCCAGCTCCCTGCTGCCATAGTTACCACATAAGCATTTGGTAGAAAATCACAGGAATCAAGCATATTGTAAAATATCAGATGGGCTACAGAAAACCCACTGTCACAGGCTGTTCACAGTTAATAGAAAAACGACAAAGAAAAGGAAAAAAAAAACAGTGTAAACGCAATGCCGCAGGTTATGTTCCTGGGTACAAATAAGCACAGGAGGTTTATTTGGGTTTATTTATTTATTTGGAGACAGCGTCTCACTCTGTCATTCAGGCTGGAGTGCAGTGGAGACATCAAAGCTCACTGTAACCTCAAGTTCTTGGGCTCAAGTGATCCTCCCACCTCAGCCCCTTGAGTAGCTGTGATTACAGGCATGAGCCACCACCACACCTAGTTAAGTTTTTTGTTTTTTACTTTTTGTAGCCACACAGTCTTGCTATATTAACAGGCTCCTCTCAAACTCCTGGCCTCCCAAAGTGCAGGGATTACAGTTGTGAGCTACTGCACCTGGCCTCCCACAGGAGGTTTAAGGGGCTCTGGGAACAAATATCTTGGGAAGAGAAGAGCAGGACGCAGGATGGAACAGAAGGGGAAGGCGACTCAGGCCATGTTGGGTGAAGTTCTGAAGACAAGAACCTTGCAGGACTTGCCAGGGTAGCAAGCCAGTGTGGGCCTTTAGACCTACCCCCACTTGTCGATCAGTCAAGAGAGGTGTGGTATCCGGGGCAGGGCTCTGCCCTCGGCAAGGTGGTTCTCTGCAGCTGAGGGAGCCCCAGAGGGACTGGCAGGGGAGGTGCCAGGACAGGAAATGGATCAACCCTGAATGAGGAGCTGGTAGCCCCATGTACCATCCACGCCTTCAGTCCAATCCAGGGTGAAAAATATGTTTTGCAGCCATTTAGGAGAACTGTAAACCTAATGTTGCTTGTGGAGCTCTGCAGAGGGGTGCATCCACCCAGTGGGGGGCTGCGTCTCATCTCAGGTGTATCCGTCTCTACAGCCTGTGGCCCAGGAAGGTTTGTTGCCTCATCCACTAAAGTGAGCAGCCCTCTGACACCTCACCTGCCCTGCACCTCCCTGCCACGGGTCTGCTGTGGATCCATGTCCCCGGGGAGCCTTGGGAAGAAAGGTGAGACAAGAAGGAGGAAGTGAGAGGTCAGGGTTGGAGGAAAGTGTCCAGGAAATCCTGGGGCATGGGGTCTACAGCTCCTCAGCAGCGTGTCCTTACCATGGAGTTTACATGGGAGCCGGTTCCTGGGTGAGCAACTGGGGCTGATTTGCCCAGTTCCAGGAACCCCTCATCTGAGCACACAGGGGTAGGACACAGCAAACAGCTCCACTTGGGTCCACCTGGTCACATTCCCTCTGTTCCTCATAGATCTTTCCAGTAGTGCCTCCCCATGGCTCCCAGCCAAGGTCAGTGCAGTTTCTGCACTTGAATCTCCCTCAGGGATGTCACCACCTGACACCAGCCCATGTTTTTGTCCTCAGATAGAGCCCCGCCTCCTCCATGAAGCCCACTAGCTGGTCAGAGCTTGCAGGATCCCCGGTGCCCCACCTCTGAAGGACTCCCCTGCATTGTGGCATCTGACCCCTGCAAAGGTCTGGGGTGTACCCAGTCCTACCACGTCTTGCTTCCCTCAGAGGCTGTGAGCAGACTGAGGCCAGGACTGGCTCCCTTTCTGCCCGCCTCACTCCATGCTCAGTTGTGTGCACATGACTGTTCCACGCAGGCCCTTAGCTAGGAAGTGACGCAGAAGGGGCTTCAGAGCTCATCTCCTCTTTCTTTTCCAGATGGGGAAATAGGATCAGAGAGGGACAGTGACTTGCCAAAGTCATACCAACATGAGCCTACCCCATACCCTCCCTTCTCACAAAAGAACATCACCAGAGGGGCTGCCCAGCATCCATGTAGTGAGAAAATGTGGGGGAGAGATGACAAAACAAAGACATAGGGTCCTGAGGTCTTACATGTGACGTAAAGGCCAGCATAGTACTGGGGAGAACTTAAGCAGCAGCAATGGGGAGGCTCCACTTAGCTGGACAATGTTCACGTGATTTTGTTCTACCCTGAAAACCATATTGAGAGGTGGGAATTACTGTCCCCTTTCACAACAGAGGAACAATGATGCCCAGACAAGGTTAGTGAGTTACTGAGGGTTACACAGCGGCAGAGTGGCATCCCGTCCTGTTCCTAGCTCCTTCCCAAGTGCTTCTCCCCTGTCTGGCTCAGGAGAGGCAAGGCTGACAGTGGTCACACATAGAGGGGAGCCCCTGGAGAGCTGTTTTTCCCTAGGAGAGTTAAGCCCCTTCCTAATTACACACCCGGGTGGCAGCTGGACTCTTGTGATAAGGACAGCTTTCTCAGCAGGTTGCTTGCTGGCCAGAGACGTCTAGTAGTGTGTGTGTATGTGTGTGTGTTTGTGTGTGTGTGTGTGTGTGTGTGTGTTTTCTGAGACTACTGTGTTCATTCCTCAACTGAGTCTTTGCTCTACTGCCCTCCTCTGGTCATAGAGAAGAGGGCCCCTCTTCCTTCTGTCCCCAGTCACCCTCTACCCCTTTCCTTCCCCTCATCCATCCTATAAGTGGCCCCGCTGCCTGATCACCAGGGCCCTGGCTGTGTCGCTCTCCTGCTCTGATGTTTTCTCTCCCATATCAAGGTCTTGACTCAGGTCTGAGAGAGTAGATGTCACATTTATCCCCAGGTGCTATTCCAGCCACTCCAGGCTGATGGACTCCTCTCTGTGGGAGGGATCCAGGCTGCATTCCCCAGCCTTTGCTGCCGGACGCAGGGCCAGTGGTCTGGGCAGTAGAGGTCAAGTCTGAACCATGAGTCAGTGGGGTAGGTGGCTGACTCTTCAGGCCACTGGAGTCCCAGCCAGAGGCTAGATGGGCTCCCTTCTTCCTGTCCCCCACCTGGGCCCATCCTCCAGGCCACATTCAGTTTCAAGTTGTCACACGTGGGTCTTCTCTCTCCAGGGGACATTGAGTTCCTGGGCTGGAGTGAGGGTGATCTGCTCTTTCTCTGAGCCATGGCCTTCCCAGCAATGTTGTGGGGTGAGGACCCTCCATGCAGTGCCAGGGCCTCAGTCACTCCAGGGTGTGAATTTGGCTGGAGACCACTGGGCCCTCAGTCCCCTCCAGGAGCTCAGACCTGGAACCCAGGTGCAGGAGCTGGAGGAGAGAGCCTTGAACTCAGCCTCTGTACCCCTGGGTAGAGGATGGCCCTGCAGCCCAGGGGCTCTTATCTGCCTGGTCACAGCTCTTCTGGGAAGGGCCAGCCAGCAGGAGGCAGCAAGAGAGTGTGGGCTCTGCAGGGTCATAGGACAGGAGGGACAAGCAGCCACCCTTAGGGCAGGGTGCATCCAGATGCCCCTCAGAGGACACTTGCCAGATGCGGGAGCCTTGGACAGCTCTGGGGTCCCCTACTGCTGACCCCTCTGTTGGGCCCTAGCACTTAGTCACTATTCCTTCTCCTGCAGGACATTGACTGTCTCCAGAGCTCCTAAGCCCCAACTCTTCTTCCCTACGCACACGGGAAGCTGAGGGGAACAGAGGGAAGCCGGGACTGTGGTCCCGGCTGTGGAGAGGGCAGCTCTCCCTGCATCCCCACCCTCAGCTTGACAGTAAGAGGCTCTGGGGTGGCAGAAGCTGAGGGTCTCTGCCTGTAAACAACAATCCCAGGGCTCCTCTGCCATCCACCAGGGTCTGGGGCCTGCAGCTCTAAGAAGAAACCTCTTGAACTCTTCCTTGGGACTTCCTGCCTGCTGCCCGCTGCTCTGGGTCCCTCCCCAGGTTCCTGCAGGCTGCTGACATGAGTGGAGTGCAGCCTCTGGCTCTGAGAGGGCCTGAGTGAGGCCACACTGCACAGTCCTCCAGCCCCTCCAACCTGGACTGGCCCAGGTCTTCACCTTTCCTCTGGCCTTCTGGGGCCCCTCTGGAGAAGCTCCCCACCCATAGTTAAGTGGTCTCAGACCAAGCAGGCTTCCATGGGAGCTCTGGTCTTCTAGGTAGGTCCTTCCAGGGTCTAGCAGGATCACTGCACATGCTGTGCTGTAGCCTACAAAGAATGGAGAGGTGAGGAAGGGCTGTCCCCACTCACAGTGCCCCAGGCTCCAGCCTCTCTTTGCCTCTGCCTTTGGTTCTTGCCAGGTCACCACCTTAGGGTTATGCTGGGCCACCTGCCGGCCACCCTCCTCCCTTTCCAGGTGCCCTCCAGTCCTCTTGACTGGATACGGGCTGAGGGATACCCTTCTGGGGACTCAGTGTCACAGCCCTTAGTACTGTTACCCAGCGCTCTGACCAGGAGGCTGAGAGGGGGCTCTACTCACTTCCTATGTGTCTCTTCTTCCAAAACCCATAGACCACGATCAACATCACGGGCACCAGGAGGAAGGTCAGCACCACCACGAGCACAGTGGGGTAAAAACCCTGGTGCCTGAGGAGAAGGGACAGAGCAGCAGGAGTTGAGTATGAAGGGCTCCCACCCAGACCCATGTTTTTCTGCACGTCACATAAGAGGGGTCAGACCAGGGGACAACTCCAGCAGCAGAATCCCTGGTGGCACTTGCCTCCAGAGCAGCTTCACTTCCTTGGAGACCCAGCTTCACGGTGAGCAAGTGAGGCACCCAGACTGCAGAGGGGACATCCCCAGGCTGAGGGGCACATCTCCCCGGCTTGGTGCCTCTCTTCCCATATGTCTCCAAATCTGCTCATTGCTGAGGACAAGGATTCTAAGAGATGCTCACATGTGACTGAAGAGATTAAGCTTCTTGCTCTCCTTCAGGTGTCTGAGGACGCCTCTTCCCCACTGTGGCCTGTGTAGCAGATGCTGTAGGTGCCCCACCTGTATCCCCTACCCCCTCGCTGGAATCATTTCTATGTGTAGGGGTCATAGGCATTTCTGTTTTTAGAGAGGAGGGTGAGGACTTTCTCTTGTCTCTGGAGTCCTCTAAGTCACACCGGGCAGGCAGCTCCCTACCAATGACCAGTCAGAGCGGTGTATATCCACCTGCTCTCGTATTCTGTGGAGCGTTTGTCATTGGATCCCAGTTTGCCCAGTGGGATGAGGCTCTTTCTGCACCAAGCAGTAGCTGGTTGGTTAAGGGCCCCTTATTGGCTGCCTTCGCTTCCCCATCCCACCCCCTCTCCCTCTTTGCAGGGTTCCAAATACAAAGCAAGCCCTTGTCTCAAACATGAATTCATTAGTGGAACCCAGTTATATGTATCTACATTTCTCACTTCCCACTCCCTGAGCCACTTATTTGTCCTGTTCCCACCATCTCTTTTCCATCAACAGCCTCTGCAGGGGAACAGACCCTGACCCTGATCTCCCTGACCCTCACTCCCCCGACCTTCATCCCTCCAACCCTCACCCCTCTGACTGTCATCCCCCAACCCTCATCCTCCTGACCCTGATCTCCCAACCCTCGTCCTCTTGATCCTCATCTCCTAACATTCATCCCCTCTGACTCTCATTCCCTGATTCTCATTCCCCTGACCCTGATCCCCTCAGCCCTTATCCCCCTGACCAAGATACCCCCTGACCCTCATCCCCCCAACCTTTGTCCCTTGACCCTCATCCCCCCCACCCTTGTCCCCTGACCCTCATCCCTCTTTCCCTCATCCCCCTGATTCTCATCCTCCTGACCCTCATGCCCCTGACCCTCATGCTCCTGGCCCTCATCCCCCTGACCCTCATCCCCCTGGCCCTTATCCCCCTGATTCTCATCCTCCTAACTCTCATCCATCCAATCCTCACCCCACTGACCCTCCTCCTCCTGGCCTCCCCTCCTGACCCCCACCTACTACCTGCATCCCACTACTATTCTGTATGTCACTTCCAGTTTCCCATCTCCCCTTCACAACAGGCCACATTGGGGAGCTGAAGGTGGTCAGTTACATAGTTTAAGATGTCGAGTCCCATCTGGAGTGCCACTTGTTGGGGCCCAGGACTGGCCAGGTCTCCGGCCCCAGCTTATCTGGAGTCTGGATGCAGACCACTGGGCTACCTTGCTTGGGAACAATTGCTCTTAGGTGCCTGAGGGCTATTAGCTTTAGCAGAAGGGAGAGAGACAGAAAGACAGTATTTGAGGGAGAGCAGTCTTAGTAAGAAAATACATCTTAGCAGTCTTTCATGGAAAGAGACACCATGCAGGGGTTCTGCAGGCAGGAGAAGCGACAGAGTCAGAGTGAGCTGGTCCATAATAGAATGCATGCTCCCGACTGCCTTCTCCAGCCTCTTATAGACACATTCCCATGGCTCTTAATACCACAGGTATAGAGACTGCCAATCACCGATGCTCTGGTCTCTCGAGCTCTTTTGTTTGTTAGGAGAGCCAAATCCCTTCCCATGCCCTTATCACCAGGGCGGTACATTACTGAGCTATACAGGTGTTTCTTATAACTCTCTCTCCTAGCCATATGCTATATGGGCTGCTACAATAAGATTTGCACTTGAGTTCCATTCAGACACCAAAAACTATACCACACCTTGTAGAATGTCATTCAGCCCCCAGTCCCACACGTACCTGAAGGAGGGAAATTTGTTGAGAGATCTGCTGGTGTGGCACATTCCTGTCACTGGCATTCTGGTGCTATGCTGTCCAGACTTGGTGGAAATGGATTCTGGGTCCTCAGAGGAGGCTCTAACATTGTTCGGAGATGCAGTCACTGCCTGGGCCACCGTGGTGCTCCTGGACCCCTTGGTGGTCATGCTGGTATCAGTGAAGCTGTAGCCTGTCATAGAGGTTGGTCTGGAAGAAGGTAAGAGCCTGGCCAAGGTGAGGATTCCAGGGGTGAACACCATCCTGCTAGTGGTGAAAGGCACATCGGAGCCTGAAGTAGGGGCTTGGCCTGTTGTGACAATTCCACTCTTGAAGATGTCAGCCAGATGTGTGAGAAGAGTGTTCCTCTCAGTTGTGGGGGCTGAAGAATCAGAGAGGGAGGGATGTTAGACTGACTTGGGGGCCTCAGTGCTTACAGCAGATCTTAGGGGTCTGCACAGTGATCTGCATGCCAGGGTGGGGGCCTGTCTTCCTCTCTTCTCCCTGACCTTGGGCCTAGGATTCTGCTCTGCCTGGTGACCAGTGTTCAGAAGGTGATTTTAGGAAGGAAGAAGTGGGCATATAAAGAGGAAAAGACTTTCACCATTTCTTTAGCCTCTCATGTCATGCCACCTGTTCCCAGAGGACACCCTCTCTCTATCTCCTTCTCTTGTCGTTTTCCATACCTTCAACATTCTTGAGGGCCAAAGAGAACTCTATAAAATGATGCCAAGTAGGGACTTCCCAGCAGCTCCATAATTGGCAATTAGGGTCCAGAGATGAGGACTTTGAGCCATTGAGGGCCCCAAATTCTAAAAATAGCTGCAAACAGTTTAGAGGCAGACACCTTCTTTGCAGGATACCTAAGAGTTATCTAAAGCGGTCCTGCTCCCCTCATCCATCAACCCAGCCTTTGACATCCCATTTTCTAGAAGAATCCTGGAGTTTGGGTGGTGGACAAGGGGAAGTTGTAAGAGTTGTGAGGCACCATATTGCAGGGAATGTTGGCTCTGAGAAGAAACATGAAAATTGGAGAGAGGCCTCTACAGAATATTGCATCCTCCTATGGTGCATGGGAAGGATACTTTCCTGAGGGCCAGTGACCACCCATTTCTCTAGGCAAGGGTATCCAGAACAAGCAGCATTGGGGGTGGAGGGGACTGAGACAGAGGCAGACCTGGAGCCAGAGCTCCCACCTCACCATACTCAGTAGTGAAATCCCCCCAAAGCCTACAGAGAACCCCCATACCAATGCCTTGGAGAACATCTGCATACTCACCTCAGAGAGGATCTCAAAGGGCTGGAAGAAAAGGACCCACATTCCACAGAGAGGACTCCTCCAACAGTCAATTAAGTCACACAACCATTCCTCTCTCTAGCATTCCTGCATCAACACACCAAGGTGTGTGGGAGGGAGAGGCCCAGAGGGGAGACAAGAGGACCCCACTTTCCTCAACTCCCAAGATGAAAGAGGGGGAGCTAAGCAGCAGGCAACCCCCCTTTCCCGCTTCAGGTGCCATGGGCCATAAAACCTGGTCTTCAAGGGGCAGTGGAACCCCACATACTGCTGGAAGATCAGAGTTCATAATTGGGCTGTTTGGGCTGTTTATTTTCCTGATAACTGAAAAGGTCAGCTAAGTTGGAATCTCCACAAATTGTCCTTAAGATGTGGAAAGTGAGAACTTAACATAGCATGATTGGGGGAAATGATGATTTCAATGAATCCATTTCAACTCCTTCCCTGGGTCTAAATCAGAACTGGAGAGGGGAAGAATGAGATTGGGCTTCACATTTTAGAGATGGTATTTTCCCTAATTCAGAGCGAACAGAAAATGAGGGTATAATTGAGTTAGGGGAACAAGGTGGATAGTCAATTTCATAATAATTGGCTCCTTTTTTCAGGCTCTTTAGCTGACTCTCTTTCCTATCTTATAAATGTGAAAGAACCTCACTACTTCATTCTCGGTCTCCTCCTTTTTCTACACTCTAGGAAGAGTTTCAGTGTCCTCTTAATTTTTTTTTTTTTTGAGACAGAGTCTGAAGCTGTGGCCCTGTGCATAGCTGACAGCAACCTCTAACACTTGGGCTCAAGTGATCCTCTTGCCTCAGTTTTCTCTATTTTTAGTAGAGATGGGCTCTCACTTTTGCTCAGACTGGTCTCAAACTCGTGAGCTCAAGCTATCCACCTGCCCCAGCCTCCCAGAGTGCTAGGATTACAGGCGTGAGCCACTGTGCCTACCCTATCCTCTTGATTTTTTTTTTTTTTTAGCTTCTCAATAGCCTCTTGATTTTAAAAACAACTTTATTGAGATATATTTCATATTCCCTATAGCACACCCATTTAAAGTATTAAGTTCAATTTTCTTGATCGTATTCACAAAGTTGTGTAACCATCACCAGTCGATTTTAGAACACTTTCATCACCTTGGAAAGAAGCCCCTTGCTATTTTTCTGTCATCCCTGTGTCCCCTTTTCTTCCCCAGCCTGAGAAACTACAATCTGCTTTCTGTCTCCATAGATTACCCTAATCCCCTTGACGTTAAACACTATCTTTGAGGAGACACTTTCAAATATGTATCTCTCCTCTGATCTCTCACATAAGCTCCAGGTGGATATATCGACAGCTTACTTAATTTCTCCACCTGGGGTTCTAGGAGGTATCTTAAATTTTACATGACAAAATAAAGCTATTGATTTTTTCCCCTCTAAATTAGCTCCTGTTGCAGATTTTCCCTACTCAGTAAATGGTATAATCATCTACCTGCTGATCAACTAGGAAACCTTGCAGTTATCCCCGCTCCTGCTCACCTCCCACTTGAGAAAATCCTGTCCTACCTTGAAAACATACCTGGTGGGTAGAAAGTCTGAGAAACACACATGTGAGCCCATCCACTTCTCTCCATTTCTAGCGCCCACTTCCAAGCCACTGTTATTTCCATCCAGATGCTCACAACTGTCTTTCTGCCCAAGCTTGTACTTTCCACCAGCAGCAACTATATTTTACAGACAAGCCGCATCTCACCCCTCTAAGCACACCAGTAGTTTCTTCTTGTACTTAGAATCAAACCCAAACTCCATGTCATGGGCCTCAGGGTTACTGATGACCCTCCAGCCTCATCGGTCACTGCCCCACCCTCCGCATAGGGCCACCTTACAGCCTTCCTCAGACACACCAAGCTCCTTCTAACTTGGGGGCCTTTGTGTGTGCAGATGTCCCCACAGAATGCCCTTTAATGAACCCAGATTTCAACATGGCTAGAGAACTCTCACCATTCGGGGCTCTGCTTGATGCCATCTGCTCAGGGAGGTGTTCCCTTGTCCTCGGTTCTGCAGCACCCACCCCATCACTGTGTCACTTTCTGGTTCATCATTCTGTCTTATTTTCTTAATAGCATTTACTGTTATCTGCAATTCGTTATCTGGATGATGTGGTATTGCCTGTCATCTCCCAGAGGGCAAGATTGTGTCTGGGTTTGCTCACCTCTGTATCCAGAACCTAGCAAAATGCCCGGCACATGATAAGGGCTCAACAAATACATGTTGAACCAATGATTGAATAAAATAAAGCACAGACCGTCTTGAGTTTGGACCTCATCTCAGCCACCTGCTAGTTCTGTGACCCTGGTCAAGATCAGTGCCACATAAAGCATTCAGGCCTCCTTTTCTTCATCTCTGAGAGGGTGACAGTGATGCCATGAAGATGTCTGTAAAGGCACTTTGAAGACCCTCTGGTGTAACATGACCAATAATGGTTTCTTTTTCTTTTCATATCTGCTGTCAGTGGAGGGCAGGGCAGGGAGGGAGGACACCCCACCCACCCAAATGCCCTGGCAGGCCTGCTCACCTGGAGACACTTCCAGCAGGATGCCCATCAAAGGGTAGAGGGTTCCGGAGGTGCTGCGCATGCACCAGTATTTGCCTGAGTCCTGGAGCTTAAGGGCCACCATGGTGATGTTGACTACCTTAGCCTGGGCATCATCCTGCAGCAAGTAGCGGGGCCCATTCACCCAGACTCGGGTGAACCCAGGATCACATTTCTTCTTCCTGATTTTGCACCAAACCTTGTCCTCCACGCGGTTTTTGTAGCCCTTGTAGGAGCACTGCACAGACAGAGTCTGCCCTTCAAGAAGCCTCACTTTTCTGTATATGTTCTCTGCAGGGGGACCTGGGGAGACACGACTTGTTTTGTAAGGTCTGGAGAGAGAGGATGAAAGAAGGCATCTTGAAGGGTGAAGATTGTAGTGAAGGGAGAGGAGGTGGATGTTGCCCTGCTATAATGGAACCCAGAATCTGAGGGGGAACTACCCTGCCCTTGGGGAGCACCCCCAGTCTAACACAGACATACACAGGCCCTGCAAATAGCTAGCATTCAGTATTATGGGGCAGATACAGACTCCTCTCTCAGGGAGCTTTCAGTCTGATGGAGGAGACAGGCATATCCCTGGAGGAGTCCCCAGTCTAATAAAGGAAACTCAGCCCTTAAGGGAGCTACAGCAGACACCGGCCCATTCTTCATGGTAGTTTCTAGTCTGATGGGAGGCTGACTGATAAGCTCGTCCCACGTCCTGTCTTCAACAAGACAGATGCACAGACACAAACACATGTTCTAAGTTCTGAAATTTCAGAGGCCAAACAATGTAGGTAGATGAAAAAAAAAATCCGTGTTTTTGAAAAAAGAAATGAGTTCCTTCTTTCACAAATAACTCCACTGTAGTCATCTTTGAAATAGCAAGCTGCTTTAGTTCACTTCAGGTGGTGTTTAATTTTAAAATATTCTAGTTACATAAAACCCATACATTAAGCTACCTAAATGTTCATATAAACTGTCCCAGTGGTATGAGAGCCAAAGGATTCCAATGATCCATTTGTCATCTACTATAACTTACACTCTGTGACAAGGACTAAAATGTAGTCCATGTCCTTCAGAAGACTCTCCTCCAGCAGGCTGGGAAGAGGGGGACTCAGGGGACAGAGAGAGGGAGCAGGCTGCTGTGGGGTAACCCTGCCTCCTGTCAGCACAGCGCTTACTCTTTGGATCACCTCACTCCAGAGCCTTCTACAAACACATCAAAAGCTCCCTTCGTGTAGAATTAGAACACAGGTTTGGGAGTCACAGCAAACCTGGGGTTAAAATGCTGCTTCTACCACTTTGCTGTGTTAACAGGTGACATAACATCTCTGTTTCTTTATCTGTGAAGTGGAAACTTCGCTGCCCACGCGGGTTGCTGTGAGAATTACGCCCCCAGACAGCACTTGAACACAGCAGGTGCTCAAAGCATGCTTCCTTTCCCAAGTGCAGGTGGCTCTGGACTTCCCCACTGCAGCCCAGAGCTCAAGACATCTGTCATCTGTCATCTTTCTCAGGTCCCACCCAGAACCCACTCCAGCTGAGGCTGTGAAGAAGGCCACGCCCTCTCTGAACATCACCTTATCCCGTACTAACTGAATGGAATAGTGACCAAACTCAATAATTTAGTGGGTGAGCCCAGGACTTCTGAGCACAGGACAGACCCCACCACTCTGGCAGAGGGAGGAGCCTCCCAGCCCTCTGGGGAGGTGCAGAGGTAGAGTGACCTTGGGGTGGGCCTCTGGGGCACTGTGTTCACATGTGCCTCCTTCTCCCACCCCTCTCATAGGCAGTGGGGAGTGGGTTTGACCAATCCCACCATGCCCAGAAGTGGTAACTTGGTTGCCATAGCAGCAAGAGGGGCAGGAATGTGCGAGGCCCCTCAAGGGGCAATAATACCTGAGGGGGAAAGGCCTTCAGGGATTGGTCCCTTCAGGACAGGGGAAGGGACAGGATGTGGTGAGTTCATAATGCAATAATGCAGTAACTCCTCTCAGAACCAAACAGGGCTTTCCCGACAGAGGCCAAGCTAAGGTTATTTGTGTGAGGAAATTGAGTGTCCCTGCTTTGAGGGCCTGAGGTAAAGGGGCCAAAGCAGAGAGAGTCCAGAGCTTTATCTCAGCTTGAAGGACCCTAGATTAGCATTCCCTGGGGCCAGGTGTTAGGACTGGACCTTCGCCTGGCCTCTCATAAAGAGCTGCTAAGTCAGCCTCCATCTCTTCTCCCCCCAGCCCACAAAACATCAGAGAAAAGAATGGAGCAAGGAAAGCAGGGAGGAAGGGTACAGAAAAAGGCCCAGAGTTCCTGCCCCTGCAACCATTCCCTCCCCCAAGTCAGCCTCCATCCCTGTCACCTGCGACACAGCCCTGCAGGCACAGCAGCAGCAGCAGGATTGCAGGGCCCATGGCTCCCTCCAGCTGGGACAGTCACAGGCCCAGCCACCCTGGGACCCAAGGGTAGGGCCCGGGCTGACACAGGACAGGCCACCTGGGTGTGCCAGGGGAGGTCCTGAGGTTTTAAAAGTGAAGTTACCCATTTAGGGAAGTGACGCAGTGTGGGACCCACTGCCCCCAGCAGACCGCAGGGGCCCAGAGAGCCTATCGTGAGGGTGGTGCTGGCAGCCGTTTCCGCCCTTTTCCTCAGAACTTCGGGCAGGTGTGGCTGCTCCACCCAGTCTGGGGCCCCCAGCCCAGGGAGGGCTCCCAGAGTCAGGGGCCTCCCTGCCTTCCCCAGCCTCCCCTGAAACTGATTCCTATAGGAGGGTCTGCTAATCTGAGGCAGGGGACCCAGCGAGGGGGCTGGGGTTCTGGAATCTTCCAGGCTCAGAGACCTAGCGGGGTAGAGGCTCTCAGGCTGAGGTGGGGCGTCTTAGACCTTAGTTTTTCATCTATGCACATCCACAAAGAAGTTCTTGTAAACGCTCACTCATTCATTCCTTGCTGATGCATTCTTTCTGTTCCTGCCTCTTGCAGACCCCCGGGGGCTCAGAACAGTCACTGGCGCTGCTCACTGTTGGGGATGACCTCTTACAGGCTCCTGGGACCTGACGTTCACCCCCCGGGAAAGATGCAAATGGTGAGACTCCGAGCATAAAGTTGGGACTCAAAGAGTTTCCCCTGAGAGTGCACACACTCACACATAGTCTCTCTCTCTTCCTCTGTCTCACACACACACTCTCACACTCACACACAGACTTTCCGTCTCTCACACACACATGCACACACTCACAGTCTCTCTTCCTCTGACACACACACACACACTCGCGCACGGAGTTTCTGTCTCTCCCTCTCACACACACACACGCACACACTCTCACACACGAGCTGCCTCTCCTTTTTCCTACTGTCTCTATCCCTCTCCCCTCCTCTCTACTCACACCAGCTCTGGCTAGAGTCCTAGTCCCCCCCTGCAGACTCCCTAAAGCCACTCCAGTGCTTCCCTTCACCCACCTCTTGCAAGACACCATGGCCCCAGGGCCCCTTCCTCCCCTGGGTCTGGTACTGGCCGGCACACAGGCATGTCCCCTCAACTTCCTCCCGCTCAACCCTATCTTGCCTCTACAGCCACCCGGCTCCAGTTGAAACGATCCAGCACTCAGCTCGGAACCCCACCCTTCACTTAGTCTCCAGGGCTCAGAATCACAAGGATCAATTTCTGACATCCATCAGCTGTGTCATCTGCTCCTTTGGCTTACAGGGGCCCAGATGGACCCACATGGCTATGTGTACTCACTCCCCCTATTTACCTAGCCAACTTCCTTCTCCTTGGATGGGACTGTCAGAAAATAAACTGAGGTACAATAAAATATGACAGGGGCTATCTGAGCAAACAATAATTCATGAATCAGGCAGTTCCAAACCAGAAGCGATTCAAGAGCTCCACTGAGGGAACCCAAGGAGGAGGCTTTCATAGGACAAGTAAATCAAAGAAAATATTTAATTTATTACAGTTATATAGTCAGTTGCCTTCTTGACCTTTCATGTTGGAAAGACTCTTGTTACAAAATTGTAAGTTTTTTTTTCTTTTTTTTGAGACAGAGTCTCAAGCTATCTCCCTGGGTAGAGTGCTGTGGCTTCACAGCTCACAGCAACCTCCAACTCCTGGGCTCAAGCGATTCTCCTGCCTCAGCCTCCCAAATAGCTGGGACCACAGGCTCCCGAAACAATGCCCGGCTATTTTTTGGTTGCAGCCGTCATTGTTGTTTTGGCAGGCACGGGGTGGATTCAAACCTGCCACCTTAGGTGTATGTGGCTGGCACCTTAGCCACTTGAGCCACAGGCGCCAAGCCACAAAATTGTAAGTTTGACGGTTGCTTTGGATTAGTTGAGCTTAATTTCTGTTGTTCCTTAATATACACATTTACAAAAATAGCTCAAGTTAAATTTTGCTTATGTTTGAAATTTTAAGGTTAAAATCACTTATGAGGCCTAACTCTATTTTAATTACTTTTGAAAAATAAACAGTCTTCAAGCTTGCATGGCTCCACTCAGTCTTAACCTGACCTTGAACTCCCAAATCCCAAGCCAAAAAAGTTTTATCTGGGCTGGCCCCAAAGTTGTGTAGTCTCTTAACTCATTCATTCATTCATTCATTTGTTCATTCCCACACCTCCCTGCCATGCATGGAGCTAAGTAATCACCGGGGAAATATGGATGAATACAGTTGTCATCTCAGACCTCTCAGTTCACAAAAGATGTGCTATGCTTTCCTTATTACCTTATTCACCTTTCCTTTTTCAATACTTCTCACCAACTGCTCAAAACTTCCTCATTTCTCTGAGTTCAGAGGCCAGCTCCTCTCCCCAACACACATGATATCTTTCTTCGACTCTTTCCTTCACAGAACACTAACTAGGTGGCTTCAGGAGTGGGAGATTTATCTCTGGTGGGGACTTTGTGTGCCTAGAATCAACGCTTCCACTAAACCCCAGTACTAAGTGAGGCATTTTCCCAAATGTGAGTTATGATGACATAAGGACCCAAATACTCTCATTCACTGACAGAGAAAGTATGCGCTAGATCCAAACTTTCTTGAGAGAAATTTGGATGTTTTTCAAAATTTCTAAGTATACATTAAAATTTTACGTATGAAATAATTTACTATAGCATTTTTTTTATATACCTATTTTTCCCATTAAAAAATTTAAGTCTGGCTCAGTGCCCATAGCTCAGCTGTTAGGGCACCAGCCACTTGCACTGGGGTGGTGGGTTCAAACCCATGCCCAAGCCTGCTAAACAAACAAACAAACAAAAAATAGCCAGGCATTGTGGTAGGCACCTGTAGTCCCAGCTACTTGGGAGCTGAGGCAAGAGAATCACTTAAGCCCAGGAGTTTGAGGTTACTGTGAACTGTGATGCCATGGCACTCTGCCCAGGGTAACAGTTTGAGATTCTGTCTCAAAAAAAATAAATAATTTGTATCCCATACTATAAGCAAGATTGAGAAGAGTTCTATCATCCCCAGAAAGTTTCCCTGTGCCCTTTTGACATTATCTCCTCAATCCCTGGCACACACTGATCTGGTGGGCTTTTTTCCTGTAGTTTTTTCCTTTCCAGAATGGAAACAGTATAATATGTAAGATTTTAAGTTAGCTTCTTTTGATCATGTCCAATATACAATTTTTATGGATCATTTTAAAATCATATCTAAGAAATTTTACACAACTTTTTTAGCAGCTTTATGAGACATAATTCATGTAATATAAAATGGGCCCATTAAAAGTGTACAATTCAGTGGTTTTTGGTATATTCACTGAGTTATACAACCATCACCACAATCCAGTTTTAAAGCATTTTCACCACCCTCAAAAGAAACTCCCTGACAATTAGCAGTCATGTCCTGTACTGTACACTTGGGAGCTTAGAATAACTGTAGTTTATTACCTCATAGTCCCGAGGCCAGAAGTTCAAAATCAGTTATCACAGGACCAAGATCAAGGTGTCAGCAAGGCAGCAGCCCCTCTAGACGCTCTAGGGAAGATTCCATTCCCTGCCTTTTCCTGCTTAGGGAGACTGCCAGAATTCCTTGGCTTGTGACTCTATTACTCCAGTCCTCAAGGCCAACATCTTCAATTATCTGTTTCATCTTCATATCATCTTATCTTTTTGCATTCTAATCTCCCTCTTCCCCTCTCTTGTAAGGATACATGTGATTGCATTTAAGGCCTAGCTACATAATCCAGAAGAATCTCTCCATCTCAAGATCCTTAATTTATTCACCTCAGCAAAGTTCCTTTTTTGCCATATGAGGTAACATTCACAGGTCCCAGGGCTTATGTCATAGATATTTTGGGGGAGGCCATTTTTTAGTTTATAACATTCCACATTCCTGCAGCCCCAGGCAACCACTGATATGCCTTCTGTCTTTATAGATTTGCCTGTTCTGGACATGTCATAAAAACATAGATGAACAATATATTTTCCTTGCGACTAGTTTCTTGCTGTCAGCATAATGTTTTCAAGGTTCATCCATGTTGTTGCAGTATTGGCTGTGCAAGTGATATTAGTACAGCATTTCTTTTGATGGCTGAATAATATTTTGTTGCATGGATACGTATTTATTGTTTATCCATTTTTCAGTTGATAGACATTTGATTTGTTACTACTGTCGGGTTACTATGAACCGTGTTACTTGTACATTCATGTGCAAGTTTTTGTGGACATATGTTTTCATTTCTCTTGAGTATATGACAAATAGTAGATTCCCTGGGTCACATAGCAACTTTGTTTACCATTTTGAGGAACTATCAAATAGTTTTCCAAAGTGGCTGCAACATTTTCCACTGTCCCCAGAGATGTATGAGTTTCCTCATTTCTCTACAAAACCTTCAATGTTTACATTGTGTTTTGTTGTTGTTTGTTTGTTTGTTTATAGCCATTTAGTGGATGTGAGGTTTTATCTTGTGGGTTTGAATTTAATTTACCTAAGGACTAATGATATTGAGCATTTTTCATGTTCTATTTGGTCATTCATGTATCTTTGGAGAGAGATGTCTATTTGAATCCTGTGCTCACTTTTAAGTTGGGTTATTTGTCTTTTTAGTGTCTGAGAAATGTTATGCCACATCCTTCTGGCTTCCGTTGTTTCAAATGAGAAATTCACTGAAATTGGAATTGGTGTTCTTTTCATAAGTAATCGTTTCTCTCTGTTTTTAAGATATGTTCTTTGTCTGTAGTTTTCAGAACCTTATGTTGTATTATAGCATATTCTTTGGGTTTATTCTATTTGAGATTAATTCCTATACTTGGATATGTAGTTTGTGACTTATGCCAAATTTGAGAAGTTTTAAGGCATTTTGAATACTTTTTCAAGTCCCACAGTTTCTTCTTTCCTTCTGGGACTCTGATGATGCAGAAGTTCGCTTTTCTTAAAATGTCTCACAGATTGCTGAGGTTATGTTCATTTA